CATTTGTGGGCATTTGTGGTTTTTTCTGCAAGGAAACATGATCATCACTCATAGCTCCCTCTCAGTTATGCTCTGCAAAACCTTGAGACATCCTGCTGAGTTCTCTGTGGCAGGGACCGGGACACAAGAGTGGCTTGGCACCCTTCAAATTTTCACCTGAAACCACCAGCTCCCAAGACTTCAGCCTGAAATGCAGGATGAAAGAAGGGGAACTTCAGTGTATGTTCAAGCCTAAAACACCAAGTCCTACTCCAGCCTCAGCCTGCCACCTACCCAGGAGGAAATGCTCCTGTTCCCCTGGCTGATCCAAGGAACAAGCCATGCCCTTTACTGGCCTCTTTGTAACTTAACAGTGAGGCAATTGACAAACTGGTCCTAAACAGAGAGGATTCAGGAGCTCAGCCCCTTTAGTCTTTAATGCCCCTGCTGCAAATGCCCCCAGAACCTTCAAAAATGAAGCTCATTCAAGAGCAAGTGGGCTCAAGAAATAGTGAATTATCTCTTCCACTGCTGCTGTGGCATCTGCTCTGTGACCAAGGGATTCACTTCTGAACTGGCATGGGCTTGGTATAGAGAAATGGGTCCCCATTTGCATGTCACCTGCAGTTTATAAACAATGAACTTCTTTCTGCCATTAAATGTGAAACCAGCTGAGAGCAGGCTCTCACCCAAAACTGACGGGGTGTGCACACGGTAACAATCTACCTCTCATGTCTGTAATTAATCTTCCAAGTCTCTGCATCATGTAGGCTTTCACAGGTAAAAAGGACCAAACTTTTTGCAGTCTGAAAGTCAGTGGAGATTCAGTTAGTCTTTATTTTATTCTGACAGGCTTCTTTATCCCAGAGACAATACTAAGACACACGATTTTACCAGGACTTTTTCCCAGAGTTCACCCCAATCACAAAAAGGAAAAAAAATAGCCTGTTACAAAAAAAAAAAGTATTTAACACAGATTTGAAATAGATATGCCATTTTGTCTCTATTGTCAAAGACCCCTTAATATAATTAGTCTGTGGCGTAAACAGAAAATGAACACATGTGCATCCACTAAAACCCATGCTCCATAATTTTTGAGTTCACAGATAAAACCTGTCCAGGCACTGTGAGCCACTGAAGGAGCCAAGCAGAGAGATAAACAAGCATTAAATCACCAAGAAAAATGCCCGGAGTGAGTTTCAAAAGCAGCAAGACAAAGACCAATGCGTGGTTCAGTGCATGTGTGTAAAGACACGAGGCACAAAAATAAACGCTTTGCTTTCCTTACAGCAAAAGGGAAAGAGGAGAACCCAACACGGGACTGTTCTTGCTGCTGCAAGACAGGGAGCCCCACTGACCCAGGCCCTGCACCACAAGAAAATGAGCATCAAGGAGGAAATCTGCAAGCTGAGATCCTGGAAGAGAGAGGCACCAGACCTGGCACAGGACACCTGAAACCAGCTGCTCTCAGTTTGGATTCCTCAACTCTGTACTCTGGCTGAAGAAAACTCAGCACCAGCAGCTCACCCTCTTCACCCTAGACAAAGCAGGATTTCCTCACCCACCTCCCTAGAGACTTGCCAGGACTTTCCCAAACCAGTGAAGGTCAAGACAAAAGAAAACAACTGGCCAGCAACAAATGCACTGGCTTGCAGGAGAGCAGAGTAACCTGAACACTTTCCTCCACGGAACAACCACAGACCAGGGGGGCTGGAACCCCCCTCGGGGATCTCAGCAGGATCCCCATTTCCCCTTTCACGATGTTTGTGTGCTTCAACACCTCCCCGCTCACCTCTCCTCCAGAAATCCCTTCCACAGCCAGTACTGACCAGGCTGACAGGGTAAGGGTCAAGGTGAACACTGCTAGCTCAAAGATCAGGGATTTGCTGGTGCATACCTAAATTATTTGGACGGCATGAACATCTGTCTTTTTTTTCTTTGTTTTAATCTTAAATTCTGTATTACAATTTTAACTTAAGCACATGGCTGGGCTCAGAAACAGAGAGCACCTTTTGTCTAAAACTCCAATCTTCCACTCCTTTCTGGGGGCTTTCCCAATTCACGTCACACCTGATTATGTCCCAATTCTTAAAAGCATTTGCTTAACTCTTTGAGTAAATAAGACCTCTGAGGGGTCAGACCTCCAGAGCAGACACTGGCTAATGTCTGAGGTGCAGGATCATTTGGGAAGGCCAGTCCCAGAGAAAGCTGAAGCCGGCACCTTGAGTACACTTTAATTCTCCTCTTCCCACCCAAACCAGCAGACCAGAGCACCCCCCTTACGAACAGCTCCTTCCCTTTGTGACATGAAATGTGCAGAACCCACAGACCATTCCCAAGGGCAGGAAGGCTCAGTTGAAGCCCAGAGGGTTACGAGGCCACCTCAGGCTGTTTGCTGGACTGTGTGTGACCCTGGTCTCACCCACAGCCACTGGCAGCACAGGGACCACTGTCCCCATCCGCTGCCTCTGCTTTTCTGGATAACTGCACCACTGAGCACTGAAGTTTTTCATCTCCCAATTTCTTCTCCCTGTGTTACTTCAGAAAAAAACACAACCCACACACTGAGCTACCACCGAGATGACTGGGACAGAGGAGCCTGTCCAAGCACCGCTGCCACAGGTGCTGGGTGAGAGCCATCAACCCCCCCACAGAGGCAATCTCAGAAGACCCTGCAATAAGGAGAGGAAACAAAAAAGCCTGTGAGCAGCTGAGGGAGACGTTCATTCTATCGATTGTGTAAACTGTCAGTGAAGTGGCAGTGAGCAATTTTTTTTTTTTGTTTCTATCCTGGGGAATAATCCAGCCTGATAATTAGTACATAAGAGATAAGTGGAAAATGAGACATCTAGCGAGGGTGGTTCAAGCCTCCTCATGACATTGATAATGTGCAGATACATAGATCACTGTCGGGGCAAACTGCCACTGTGAGCCTGTGTCTTCCCATTGCCTCATCAATCCATCATCCGCTTAGCTACTGACACCTTGGCAGGCACACACCACCAGCCCTGCATTTGAATTGAGAGGAGCAGGCTCCACCAGGGAATACAGATTTAAAAATCTAAGATTCAAATTTGTTTAAGTATTGTGAACAGCAATTCCCTTGCAAGGCATCTTCATTGCCCTTTTGCCAAGGGGGAACAGTTGGGTCTTTGTTAGAAGTACAAATTGCTTCTTAATGCAAAGGATAAAGCAGAGCCCAGGCACCTCCTTAGAATTCCTCCTGGCTCCTGCTAATGCTGCTGCATGTCAATTTTAATTTTTTGAAATTTAAACCAAGGGCTTTGTGTCTAAGCTCCATTTCATTGAAGGAGGGGGGAGGAATAGTCAAAAAGGATTACGGATCCGGTGGGAATTGAGGATCCATAGCAATTATACTTCATTTGGATGGTCTCAAACACTGGTTTTAATCATATTCCAAATAGTACAAATCGACAAGACATAAGAGATTGATAAATGTCTAACACGTGTACCTGGTTATGAACTCTGTGTCCCTAGCAGGGGATGCTGGAGGAGAGGATGGAAAAATTGTTTTCTCCCCTTGACCCTCCTCTTCCAGCCAACGAGAAGACAATACCCACTGAGGATGCAGCAGGAGACAGGAGTGACTGTAAGACCTTGGTCATCATAGGGCTGTCCCAAATGGGGCTGGAGCAACTCCATCTGACTGTGGCTCCCTTTCCTCCTGCAACATCATGGCAGAGGCAAAGCTCCAGCCTTGGCAGAGCTGTCTCAGACCAGCTCCTGTCTCTCTTAGCTGTGATAAGAGATCTTTGCACTAAGGCTGCGAAGGGCAGAGGGCTGATGGGGAGGCAAGACCTTCAGGAGGAAAAAATGAAATGACAAGACAGTAAAATGAAAGTAAGTGCTTTTGTAAATCAATTTAGCTCTTTTAGCTTCAGCAGAGCAGTCCCAATTTAGCCAAACTCAGGAGGTTACCTACTGGGGTGATGATGAAAAATACACCTCCTCCACCAAAGGCTCAGAACCACATGCACTACCGACACACCTGTGCATTTTGAAAAAAGACCAAGTGTGGCTGGGATTTACAGAGGACCATGAGGAGAAAACCCTTCTAAAGGGCCTGAATCCATCAGTCTTGAGCAAGCTATCTCACCCAGCCCATCTCAGGCACTATGCAGACCCACCTCCAGGCAGGTGTGGTTTCCAACCCATACACACACTGCAAGTGCAAGGGTTTAGACAAACTCTCTCCCCTGCTGCCTTCTTAACATCTGTCAAGCATGTTACAGAAACACGGCTTTCCATAATCACTGATTAAACTGCTTTTCCTGTACTTCACTAACCTCTGGATCAGGTTTTAACCCAGTAAATCTGTTTAGGAGATTCACTCCACACCCCCACTTTCACCCCTTGATAACTGTGTGCCTTCTTTTCACAAAACTGCATAAAGGTGAAGCTTTTTTCCTCTCTATTTCTTCCCAGCCCCCTTGAACCATATTCAAGATGTAGGCAAGGAACCCCATCCTAAATTTAAAATATTACTATAAACCTAAGGGACTGAAGTGACCCCCTCCTTTACTGCCCACCCTCCTGCGGCACCACCACAGTGCTCCTTTGTAGCACTGGAAGAGACAGAAAGCAAGAAGGCATTGTCTAAAAACATAATTTAATGTGGTATTTGGGTGACTGTGGTCAATGACCAAATTCTTTTGCAGACAGAAACATGTTTGATGTTAATGACACCATCATTCACACGAGCATTGCATTGCACAGAAAGAAAAGTTTACACTTGACCCCATACAAAGCAGCAGAGGAAGAAACAGTTATGATCCAGTCCCACTTCGTGAATAGTCGATCTTAAAATTCATCATCGTCATTAATACTTATTGATGAAAAAATGTGACCTGTTCAAATTCCGTGTGTGACACAGTCCAAACTCTGGGCTCTTTTAAACCCTCCTGGAACCACTTGAGAGTTTCAAGCTGCCAAGTTCCTCATGTGACACACGAAACACTCAGGCAGACGAAGGGAGAGCGGGGGTCGGAAGAAATGGGAGAGTAAGGAAGGGGTTCACTTTGTTTCATTTCTATTTCGTTTCCACAAGGGTGAAAATAAAAACATATAAACTGATAATGAAGCTAAAGTGACCTGCGGAGACAGCGGACACCAGCAGGAACAGCAGCACGATGGGGTATGGAATTGCCAAACAGCCCCAAGTGCATCAGTGGCAGGGCCAGTTGTGTCATGTCACTTGTGTGTTAATCAGGGTATAAAAGAAAGCCAGAGAAAGTGCTGTACTTATTGTTGTTGCCTCCGTGTGCTTTGCCTCCATCCAGCTTGACGTACACTTCGTCGCCGGAGTCCAGGTGCAGCACCACGCTGTTGCTGGCATAGTCGTAGTTCTGGTCTGCGTCTTGGGCGATGGCACTGGCCCGCACCTGCCAACACAGCCGCTGGGCACATCAGCCCCCCCTGCCCTTCTTGCCCAGCATCTCTATTAGCCCCTCAAGTCACTCTTCTGCAGCACCCCCCATCAGTCCTTCACGCACCCTTTTTCCGGCCCCTCCATCAGTTCCCCAGCCCCTCTTTCTCAGCTCCTCCATCAATGCCCCGAGTCCCTCCTTCCCAACCCTTCCACTACCCCCTGTCCTCCCTCCCACCCCTTTCCTCGCTTCTCCTTCTCCCCAGCCCGGCAGAAAAGTTTGCGAGCCGGGAGTTCGGAATTTGTCGCGGCTCTAGAGGTGCACCCCCGCCCCGACGGCGCGCAGGATGCTCCCGCCGGCTCTCTCCTCGGGAGCGCCCGCGGGACGGGGACGGTGGCAGGGGGACGACCGGGACACCCCGGGCGGGGAGGACGCGCGGGGGAGCGGCGGAACCCACCTGGCCGTTCTTGCAGAGGTCGGCCCACATGCTGGTGCCGTCGCCGCCGCGCATGAGGATGTGGTAGGTGAAGAAGTAGATGCCGCGCACCTGGCAGGTGAACTTGCCGCTGGCCGGGTCGTAGTGGTTTCCCAGGTTGGTCACCACGTCGTCGAACTTGAGGACCTCGTAGCCCTCGTGGGGGCTCTTGAGCCCCACGTAGAAGGCGATGCGCGGCCCGCTGAAGGCGGCGCTCAGCCCGCCCGCCGCCTCGCCGCCCGCCGCCGCCCCGCCGCCGCTCCCGCCGCCGCCCGCGCCCGCCAGCGCCAGCCCGGGCAGCCCCGGCTTCCCCGCGTCCCCCCGCTCCCCCGGCGGGCCCCGCGGACCCGGCGGCCCCGGCTCCCCGGGCGGCCCGCGGGGGCCCGGCTTGCCCGGGCGGCCCGGCTCCCCCTTGGGTCCCTGGACGAAGGGCGGCGGGGGGTTGGCGCCCAGGTCCTGCAGGGCCTCCACGGCGGCGGTGCTGCCGGGGCCGGGCGGCCGCCCGCCGCTGTACGGGTCGCAGATCATGCGGCAGGTGCCCATCATCTCGTAGTGGGCGCCGGTGTCGGCGGGCGCTTGCAGCAGCAGCAGGGGCACGGCGACCAGCAGCGCGACGGCCATGGCCAGGGCGAGCCCGGCGGCGGCCAGCAGCCGCCTCCTCCGCTGCCAGAGCCGGGCGGCGGCGGCGAGCAGGTCCTCCTTGCCGTGCGAGGCAATGGTGGCGCGGGGGGCCGGCCGCTCCCTGCGGGGGACGGCAAGAAGAGGCGGTGAGACCCCGCCGCCGGCGCCTCCCCGCCCGGCCCCCGCGTCAGCCCGCCCGCCGGCCGGCCGGGAGCCCCGCCATGGCGAGAGCCGCCGAGAGCCGCCCCGCTCCGCTCCGAGGGGACGCGGCGCCCCGAACGCCCGGCGGGGCTGGGCGGGCGCGGGGGGCGTCGCCTCGGCGAGCGGGCGCCCGGCTCTACCCCTCGGCCCCTCGTGGGGGGACGGGCTCGCCCGCCCCCGTCGCCGCCCCGACGTGGGGGGCGCGGGCAGGGCGGACCCACCTGCGGGGGGCCGGGGCGGAGCCGCCTGGGGGGCTCCGGGGCGCCGCCGTCGTTGCGGTCCGCGGGGCGCCCGTCTGCCGCCGCCCGCCCGCTCGCCGCGCCGAGCGCCGGTGGCGGCGCGGCCCCCCGGGCGGGGCGGGCGGAGGGGAGGGGAGAGGCGGCGGGGGCGTCCCGCACGTCCCCGGGCACTCCGGCTGCGGGGGGGCACCGCGCCCGCCCCGCCGTCACCGGCGGAGTCGCTGCGGGTGCCGCCCAAACTGCGCCCCGCTGAAACCGGGACGGTCGGGGACGCATCGCGTTGTCCCGTTCACCTGCCTCCTGAACTGCTTCCTCCTTGCATCTCTCCATCCCTTCTTCCCTCCATCCCTCTGCCCGCATCGGCCCCTGCGCGACGCCCGCACAGCTTTCTGCGGGAGGAGCCCGGGGAAAGCCCCGGGCAGGCAGCAGGTCACCTCAGAGCGGTCCCCGTGGCTTCCTCAGGCTCGCCGCGTCCTGCCTCGGCGGCCCAAAGACGAGCGGGACAACATCGCGGGTGCATCTTGCTCCTCGGCACATCCGAGTGTAACCACAGTCCGCTACACCCGTCCCGGTTTATCCAAAGGCAGGCAGGGCTCGCCAAGTGAAAGGGCAGCCCTAGGAAGGAATTCCTTTAGCGGAGTTCAGGTTAGGTTACAGCACGGTGTTTCTGCAGCTTCCCTGCGTAATGACGGGTCCAAATCAAGTGGGTTTTCCCCCGAGAAAACTGTGATTAATTGCCTGTGATTTTCCGAGTAAACGGTGGTAGCACAGCGGGAGCTCTGGCATCGTAAACTGCCTGCGGAGATCTCCCCTGGAGAGAAAAGTGGGGATGTCACCCACGTGTCTCCGAGCGGCGGGGGAAGCACCCGTCCTGCAAGGCAGGAAAGGAAAGAGAGATACAGGGATTACGCAGATAGCCTCAGGGCAACATTCCCATGTCCCCTGCTCCCTCGGTGCGTAAGAAAGGTGAATTCCCAGCGGGCTCGCCGGAGCTGAAGGCGGTCTGTTTGCTCTTAAAGCAGGCAGAGCTGCAGGTCGAAGGAGCGAGCCTCCCAGTCTGATCCAACGCCCGCTGAAGATGATGGCCTGGAGGCATCGTATGCAAATAGGGACATACAGCCTTCTTCCAAGAACTGTGGAAATGCCCTAAAAGGACTTGGGACTCTTTTGATAGTTTTTCTTGACATTTAAGGAGGGGACATCAAGGTTTTTCTGTCTGGAGTGCAGCACTTCAGGACCAGATCTCATCTCAGTTACATCCCTGCGTGCATCCAGAATTTTTTCTTGGGCTTTGCTCTCCTGTTGCTGAGATCAGGGTCCAGCCCTGTCCTTTCGAGTGTCTCTGATTATTTTCAGTCACATCTGTATATTTGAAGCTGGAAGGGAAATTAATTTTGTAAATGAAAACCTTTCCCTGAGAATAGTCACATTAAAGTAACTATGTCTGTTTCTTAGCACAATGGAAATAAATGTTTTAAAAGACGAGATTGTGAGGAAGATGAAAGTCCTTTTCCTCTCCTCTGAATGATGAGTTGCATCCCACAGAGTTATTTTAAGCCCCCCACACGTGTCTAAAGCCTTGTAAAATTATTTCTAATAGTTGTTTCTGTTCCAGCTTTAGTATAATTTTCCATATATTAACTGTGTTAAATACAAATAAATTCACAAATAAATTACAGTGCTTTGCTGCTCATCCCTACTTAAGCTTCTGTTAATTTCCCTTTTGTTCTGGTATTTGTCACTCGCTCTGTTCTTCCTGTGTATGTGAATCCTTGCTATTACTCCAGAGTTCTGCAAACCCCCCCTTAAGTGGCTTTCTAATCTCCTGTTTTCTAAAGGCAGCAGCCACACCGTAGCTTTTCTAAACCTTTTCTGAATAATTAAGTTCCAGCATCATTTGGACTCTGTTGCAACGTCCCAATTTGTTGCAACTCACTTTCCTAATGAGGTGATCGGTGCTGGGAACTATATTCCAAACAGAGGCTCACCAGCCCCTTCTGCAAAGCCAGAATAATTTTATGTGGTGGGGTCTGGTTTTCCCGTAGATCAACAAGGACAGATGAAGAAGAAGAAATATATTCTAACTTTCTGCAGGACAAAATCGGCACTGTTCTTAATAAGTAGGGTTGAGCATTTGAAGAAGCAGGAAGAAAAGATTACAGAGATATCAGCAATTAGATTAGGTGTCAAATTCTAGCAATTATTTGTTTGGGAATAATTTAATTACTCCTCTGTGATGTGGTGAGATGGACTGATCATCTAGTTAATCCCTCATCAGATTGCTTTAAGGTAAACACAATGTGACTTTAATGTATAATTCCAGTAGGATCTATATTTCTGGAGACCTGGGGTTATTGCCTGACTAATGCAATGCACCTTGTGCCCCAAGACGTAGCACTTGTGATCCTTGAGGCAGCTGGTCCCATTCACTGAACCTACACTAGTAATTTGGAATATAGTCACAAAAAGGTACATGGCAACACTTAGGTTACAGTTTTGGTACAGGCTGTTACTGCACTGCTGGGAGCCTGCTTTCCACACGGAATGGCATGCACTACAGCAGAACAAGGAGCAGGGAATTACCGAATCAGCTAATGAGGCAGTGTCTGAGGTACTGCCAGCCTGCAGGGAGGAACCTTTCTTCAAAAGAGGTGACAAGTACCAAAGTCCCTCTCAGAGTCAGGCATTTTTCAAAAAGCGAGAGGCTGGTGCTCCGTTGCTGGCTGCTGAGGGCTGGCAAGACTCAGGTGCCTCTGGGTGTGCCCAGAGAGGGATAAGGCACCCACAGGGCATCCCTGGTGAAACACAAAGGATGTCTGGACATCGGCATTAGACGTTGTCTGAGCAGGAGCTTGTATGTATCTAACGAAACTTCTCTTTCAGATGTGGTGTAAGGACACAGGAACCTGACTGATCAGAGAAGCACTTGACAGTTCAGACAGTTCCCAAATTTGGACAGGCAAAGAGCCCAGACACTTTGCATTGAAGTTCCAAAATTCCAGGAGCATGGGAATTTCCATTCCTTAATTTCTGTTTCAAGGGACAATCACCCACCTCAGGTTGCTAGTAACCCTCAAGAGACATTGTGCTCCATCAGATCCACTTCCCACAGTCATTCCGGAATGTCTGCTGGATTTGGCCTCTCACAACTACTGCATGCACTTCCATACATCCAAGGCAGTGGTAAGGACACCAGCCTGGGAGGCTGGATGTTTCTTCCAGTGTTTCACCATTTGCCACATTTGGAACATATTTTTAAAACCCTTTCCAGTCTTCCAGGAGAGTAGTCTCAGACTTCCAGATGTTGGGTGTTGTGAGTTGGATTTTCTTCAGCTTGTTCTCTGGGATCTATTCTGCTGTAAAATGCCCTCTCCCAAGAGTCAGAAAGAAAACAATCTGATGACTGAAGGAGCTCAGGGATGAGCTTCCAAACCATGCCTGCCACTGGGGCTGAGATACTTTTCAGGACATGGGCAGTCTGTCCACCCAGAGGCAAACACAGGACACTCCTGCAGGCTGCAGCCAGCTATCTGTATTTCTCAGGGAGGTTCTCAGCAGGGTGACAAGGAGGAAATCCGGGTTCAGCTTGGTTTGCCGCCTCAGAAATACCAACCTGTGTTCCCTGGGGAGCTACAAAAATCTTCCAGGGCGCAAGATACTCAGGGAAGATGAGGAGAGTAGAGGAGAGCATTTTATGCCCTTATGCTGAACCTGTCCTTCTTTGCATAAAAAGAATTAAAGATTCATTGAGCTATAAGAGGAAGATCAAAGGTGAGTATAATTTTTAGTTTAGTGGTGAAAGCACCGACCTGATCTGGAGTTTCAGTCTTCCTGCAGAAGCTGTTTGTGAATTCCAGCCAGGAGGACACAATTCCTGTTCCTGAAAGACCAATCCCAACTGCTGGACTAAAGACTCTCTTGTACGTGCTTTCTTTTCTCTCAGAGGGTTTACTCTTTTTTTTTTTTCACCTTCTCAGCTGCATGAACTCAAGCATGTGGCTTGTTCCAAGTCCAACAAGAGCTGAACCATCTGTAATCCTGGCAGGATACAGCAGGATTCAGACCCACTGAAGAGGTGGAGGCTCCAGGCACAGGTGCAAGGTGACTGTTGTACATTTGCAGTCCTTGGAGACTGAAGGTGTAGGTAGCTCCTGAGTTAGGCGCTTCTAGGATTGGACTGGAGCTGAGAGAGCCTTTTTATTTCAATGCTGGATTTAGATGTTTATATTCTGCTTTAATTCCTTCTTTTAGCAACGTTTTGGATTTGGCCATTAACTTGAAATGAAAATGTAAGAGTCATACCAGCTCAGATACCCTATTTAGCAAAAATGTCAAGATCAAAGTAAGTCTATGCTCACAGTTCCCTGGTATTTTCTCTTAATCTCCATCAATCCATGGCTTAAGGACTTCCTGAACCATGGTAAAATACTTTTAAGAAGCTGAAATCAAGATTACTTTGAGTAAAGGCACAGTACCCTTAGATCAGGACCCTCATCCATCCCAGTATGTCGCTTTGTTTTGCTGTCTGTTGTCATAACTGATGGAAGTTATGGATAATAT